GCTTTGCTTTTGACTCTCAAGTGTTTAGTATGACTTCATTCAGTCACAGAGCAGAATCATTTGAAGACTGGCATCTCCCCACTCAGTCAGTCACAAATGGTACAGAGCATCTAGTCAAGATGACCTGATGGCTGGTCTGGGACTTTGACCAAGAGTTTAGAGCAATGGAAAACAAGCACAGCACATTTTTAATGGATTCAAATTAGAGAATCATCAATGATAGATGGAGTTTTTATCAGAGCTGCACAGTGATCAGGTTTTAGCCCTTATATGTTCAGCAGTTTTAAGAATGCTCTGGAGGATCAGAGAAAATCACAATCTAAGCCACAAAAATGGCAGATAAAAAAGAAGAGCACCTGCTAAGTTAGACAAAAAAGAGCAAATCCTTACTGCTGGAACATAGCTACATGTAAAGGAATATATCCAGGAATAAAAAGTGTAAGGACACACTTATAGGATAGCAAGAATTCCCTTCAGGATCCCCAGAATGCGTTTAGGAATGACAGTAGTCAAATAGCAGTACATGAGTGCCAGTGTGATGCTGCATCCAAAAGAGTCAATATTGTCCCTGGAAGAATAAATAGGAAAATTTTGCAGGCAAGCAGAAAGGAATTATATTAAGGCTGGATTTGGCACTAGAGCTTCATATTAAGGCTGGATTTGGCACTAGAGCTTCAGCTTTGGGAGTTTATATGATGAATGAAATATGATGTCCATGATTCACCAAGGATGTTGATAAATTGGAGAGGCTTCAGAGAAAATCAGTGAGAATCATTAGAGGATTGGAAAGGAAACCTGTAGACTCCAGGACAGTCACATAATCTGTTCGTCAAAAAGATTAAGGGATAACTTGATCATTAAGTCACAGGAAAGAAAACTTTGATAATAAAATTATTTAACAATATCCAAAATTAAAAATCAGAAACAGAGTAGAATTTAAGCTGACATTTTTACTAATCACTGAAACAATTTAAGAAATATCTGCGCTAGACTCCTAAATTTGTAAATGCTCTCAGTAACTTGGGGGTGACTCTAGAAGAGTTTCTTTAGTTAACTAAGGCAGGAATTAACTCAGGAAAGGTCTGTGTAAGTATGAGGTCAGGCTATTTTTATAAAAATGGTCTTTTCAATTTTCACAGTCTAAAACCAAGTTATGAGTAAAAATTGAAAGCATACATTCAAAAGGTCAGCATCACCTAGAATTTAGAAACTTATTGCCCCTTAACTTGAAACTTTAGAGTACAACCATGCTCCTTGCTATCTTTTTTCTCTTCACAACACACTTGCAACTCCCACTGACCTGCACATTTCTTTAAAACTGAGCAAGAAGACTTTAAAAAGAGCCAGCCCCACAGAAGGCACAATCTCCATGTGAAGCTGCCACTATTGCCTCAGGGACTCACACTCAGAGCTATTCCTTGGAATGCAGAATGAGAGCTCCAAGTCACATCTCTGCTGTGAACCTGAGCAGCTTGTTCCCAGTTCCCATTTGTGCACAGGGTTCTCAGTCCTCAACAGAGACAGCACTTGGCACTGGGCTTTTTGGAACACAGTTATTGGTTTCAGTTTTGCATCGCCCTGACTGTAGTTCAACCTGGGCCATGGCACAGGGGAATGGGCCCAAAGCCTGGATGTCACATCCTCTGCCTCCTCACAGTACCCACTGGAGATGCAATGCTGCTCATCAAGGCCTTGTTCCAATATGATTTATTCATGATAAATCCATGTTTGGGGCGTCTTATCACTGCAGCCTCTCAGTGTGGAAAGATATTTACACTCTCTTAAGGTATAGAAAATCAGCTTGTTAGTCCTTAATTCCCCTTCTCTTTTATGTCTCCCTCCTTTTTTAAAAAAAGTAATAATTATGTCCATCCTCTTGCATTCCTCTGGAATTCATGCTTCCCTACAGAGTGTTAATCACTACCCAGCAACAGCTCATCCTAATCTCCTAAATACTCCAAGGGTACATTTCAGCCAGCCTAAGGACTGCAGCACACTAACTCTGTTTTATTTGACCTGATCTATGACTATCTGGCCAGAGTTCTTGTCCTCTCATTAACTGCTGTTAATTGTATCAGAGGTGCAATTACAAGCTCATTGTTTTTTAGCATTAAAAAAAGGAAACAAGTAAATGTTTCCACTCCTGCCTGCATTAGGCAAGAGATTACATTTTCCCCTGTCTCCCATAAAGGAACTATATCTGTAGAAATATTATGTTGTTTCTTATGTCCATCACTAGTTGCAATTCCATTTCTTCCTTAGTCTTTCTGATCATTTGTATGTGTGGCCATGTATTGTTTTACAGCCTCCAGCACCTTGTTTCTGCTTATGTTTTCTCTTTGATTTTCATGTCATTCAATTGTTCTTGGTGTTGCATTCTAGTGTTTTATTACAACCACGCTATTTTATTCACATTGGAATGGATTGTTTTCTGGTCAGCTTTTTGTGTTTTTTCCCCTAGAAACTTGCAACTCTCCTCTTCGTGTTTGTACTCCTCCCTATGAGAATCTGCCAAAGAATTTCTCTGGGTTTACTGAAGGTCACTTCTTTAGCTCGCTGTTATCCCAAAGCATGTAAATCCTCAGGCCATCACTACATCCAGGATTCTGTAGGACACAATCCAGTGATCTGAGACATCAAGCCACTGCTGGCACATCATATCCTGTGTCTCTTCCAGAAGTTCTCTTTCTGGATGCAGTTCTTGGCTAACACACTGGTTCCTCCCCTCCTGCCTCTTGTCTTCCCATGCCTTACTGTAATTCCCCACAGGTATCGTCGGCATGATCTGAACATCTACTACTCCAGCTAGATGAGGGACTATATTTGTGTTAGCTCCTGGCAATAGTAATTTATTAAATTCTGGAAGACCAGCCACTAGAGTGAATCTAATACACCCTGCAAGCATGTTAGCTCTCTCCCTTTGATCCTTTTCCTCCTGCATAGTGGCATTTAGAATGGCTTTATGCATAATGAAAATCTACTTTTACCACCTTTGAGAGACAACAACTATTTGAAATGTCTGTTCTCTGCAATGAAATATCTTCGTTGAACTGTACCTGCTGAGGTCTATTTCAGTCCTAAAATTAACTCCACATTAACTCCTTCTCACTGTCTCCCCAGATGCAGTCCAGTGCTTCCTAGGGCTCGGCTGTCCAGGCAGTGAGAAGTGACTTACACAGAAGCAAAAAAAACCCAAAGTATGTCACACACTAGCAATTTTGGTTGGTGTGTCTGCATCCTGATGAGTTTACACCTTCTAGTACATACAGGAGAATATGGTGACAAATCCTAAAGAAGTGGGAGTGTCTGCAGCTGGAAAGGAAAAAGATATCAAGTGATTTCTTAAAAAAAAATCCACCTGCTGAAGACATTAAGGGAGGAAAACAGGTAGGGAGAAAGAGCATAACATACAATGTGGATGGCACATAGATAGACAGCTTTAAAAGCTCAAAGTGATTTGAACTGTTTTTTTTTTTTTTGCCTTGAAAGTGGAAAAAAAAAAAAAGAGAGAGCCCCTTTAAGTCCGACTGACATACTGGGGCTGGTAAGTAAGTGCACCCTGTGGTTCGCATTACTATTTTATGTGTTCCTGTTTTTATGGAGTGCTAAATGGCTTAATTACATTTTACTGGTTTATTCTGCTCACTTGCTCATAACCTCATTAATCTGACACACACTGATTTTTTTCCCAAAATAGAGAATACACAATCATTTTTGTGTAATAGCGTCTCTAGGTATTTGCAACTCTCTGACAGGTATAATGTGCTTGAATTTGCTATTTATTAGGAAATTATCACCTCTGCATAAAGGTGCAAGTTATGAATAAAAAGCATAAACTGGGCAGACTAAGCTCTTTAGCAGCACATCAGGATCCCAGCTGATTTAAGTACTTGGTGGTGCTGGTGGAGTGGAAAGGATGCACTGCTCAGTCTAATTATCATTATCTTACTTTCACATGAGGAGATAGATTGCTAGTGTTCACCCAGATAATTTCTAGGCCATAGCTGCACACTTTTCAAGCTTGATCCCTGCACTATTTGGCCCACTGCAGACAGTGTGGGATGGCTGGTTCTGCTAAAGAGAAAAGCAGAGGTGTGGGGACTGCAGAGCCCTCTCATCACAGCCTTTGCTAGGAGGTAGATTTTATACAGCAGAGGGATGTCACTTGACGTGTCTGGGATGATGCATCTTTAGGGTTTAGTGCTGCACATAAAAGGAAGTTGATTTGTTTTGACTTGTTTTGGATCATTTTGTGTGAGATATGGCAAAATGATGCAGACTGAAATGTCCAACCTCACAGAGATCAAATACAAGGCCAAATTTGAGAATAACTTGGAGATCTTACTGTGGCTGATCCCATTGCTTCCCCCTATCCATAAAGCATTCACTCATTATTTTAGCTATTTAAACCAAGTAGAAATGAACTCAGTGCCTGTGAGACAGGCAAAAAACCCCAAACAAATCAGCTTCTGAAAATCTTCAGATTTCAAATCTTAAAGTATTTCAATTAAGAGGTCTTCAGCCGAGACAAAAGGACTGCTTAAATTTAAATGCTGAAGAAATGGGATGTTCTGTCATGTCTCTGATTCCACCCTTGTGAAACAACTCCGTGAGACTCCTCTGAGGGTAAAAAGGTATCCAGCAAGGACCTGGGACTTCACTAGTTGCGCTTTGTCATATTTTGATGGGATGGTTGTCTACCCATATCCCTCTGTTTTGCAGCAAGGTGGTTTGCAGTTTACAAGCATGTAAAACACATGTGCAAGGTTTCCACATTAAGCTGTGTGATAAAATTTAAAGACACTGCTGATGACTTAACATGTCCTAAAAATGTTATATGTATTACTGTTACAAATAATCCTTAAGGCAACTGCAGGTAAAAATAATGATAAAACTCTTTTCAAACAGCCTTGCCCTTCTCTTTTTTTCTTTCCCCTGTGTTTTTTTCTGCACTGAGCCAGCAGTGCACTGGAAGGCAGTACTTACCTGAAATAGCTGTCACAGAGATTTCAAATTGAAACTGGAGATGATCCAAGGAGGGACAAGGGTGAGAGCAGAGAGGAACCGGATGGGCAGCAGAATTCAAACACAAATCAGGGCAAAAGGCCTATCCTTTACACTGAAGGAAGAGACCTTCTGTTCCAGGGATCTGTCAAAAACTCAATGGTTCTGTATGATCCACTGCAAAGAGACCACAGAACTGAAAGCATCCTTTCAAACAAGCCATTGAATCTCAAGTAACAGATTTGCATTGCATGACTCAAGAGACAGAGACTACAATAACAGAAGAAAGAACCAACTTCAGGTTCAAAAGATATGCATCAATCTTTTTAAACTAATGTTAAAATAAAAAACATCTCCTTGCTAAATTGTGAGTTTTTTTCCTGATTGCTAAATTAATTTATCCTGCTTTGTTTTTTCTTCAGCTATATTTTCCCCCTATCCTTTTCTTCTTTTCCCTTTTTATTTTGAAAAAAAACGTAGTTTCATATTTTTCTTTCATCTGATTATATCAAAACGAAGACTGATCTTTTCCCCTACTTTCTGCACAGCTTGTTAGCTAAGGTCTCAATCCTGCAAACTCATTTGCACAGTATATCTCCAACTGTCAGTGAGCAGAACATCCCATGTAAAAAGACTGAATGGCTTGGTTCTGCTCAGTTCACCCATCCATCTTTTCTATTCTCCTATATACTTTTTATTGAGATGTCTGTAAAAGAGTTGCCATGCACACAGGATTGGTTATTTTCTAAAGCACTTGATCTAAACCAGTAACAACCATAGGTGGTTGTTCCCACTGGCTCCAGAAAGGGTGCCTTCTGCTCTCACACAGAGTAACTCCAACTAATAAATTATTTAGAAATAAAAGAGACAATAAATATGGAAAACAATGCAATTAAATAGCCTTAGTTCTTCTATTTTAAAAACTCAAACCCATATCATTAGAATTCATCACATGAGGTCAAACAGAAATAAAGCATTTCCTCTTATTTTTGTACGTTAAAATGTTCAATATAAATCAAAGGAATTGCAATAATTCATAATTTAAAACTAAAGCTCACCACATTTGTATCACAGCAGGAGGTAGTCTTCCTGCAAGAACACTCTCATACAACCAAAATTTCCCAGCTTCAGTCATAGGTTATTCTAAAGACAAACACAAGAAAGTGATTCAAACAAAAAACTCAACACAACAACTATGTTAGATAGAAGACAAAGTTTATCTCATGAGAATCCCCAAAGATTTATCTAGGACAGGATCCCACATGATTCAATAAACCCATGAGACATCTTTCCTCAGTCATACTTCTTCCAAGACAGTGAAGACAATATACAAGAGAGAAGGAAGTAAAAATGGAAATTCCACGCCAAGCATTTGCAAATGATCACCTTTGGAAGTGCCCTTTCTGCACCACTTCCAGCTGGTGATCCCACTACTGACAGTGTTGAGAATCTTGAACTAGGCTTTAGTTAACCCTGGGTGTGGTAGTGTGTTGTTAAGTTTCTTGTGTTATTCCCCCAATTTATGTATTGTTCTCCCCTATTATGTGTAAAATGGTTTTGTTCCCCCTTCTTTCCCGCCACCGTTAGCCTGCCAGCTAAGTTGCTATAGTAACCGCTATTCATAGTTGCCGATATGTAATTGCTCCTCCCCTGGTTTCCCTTATAAGTGAAAGTCGTTTCCTCCCTGGGTTAAGTCAATCACCCCCTTTCTCCTCCCAGGTTTCGAGAACCTTCTTCTCTCTGGGGGTTATGGTTGGCTGCCGCCCCGGAGCCCCTCCTTTGCTTAATATTAGTTGGTTATTTAGGTATGTCAATTATGTTTAGGACCTCAAAATATGTATTATTATTGGCTAGCTGGGTTTCCCTACCTTTTCCCCCCTTTTTCCCTTAAAACCCTGTGTGGCCCCCTGTTCAGGGCCATTTGCTGGGTGTTTCCCCTCCTTGTTGGTGCCTCTGTAATAAAACCGACAGCCTACCTCCAGCAGGTGGTCGCCTCCTAATTCGTCTCACACTTGTGCTGCTCCGAGCTACCTCCCAGCTCAGCCCAAGGCCAAAGACGCCGAGGGGGGCTGGTTTTAGATGTGCAGGGGTGCTGGCCTTCGCCCCTCACTAGCTAGCCGGATTCCGGGGCTCAGTACGCCCCCGCACACCTGGGAATGAACCTGAGACTACAGAGGCATCAGAGGTTTGCAAAAATTTGAAAGCAACACTTTTACAGTCTTGCTGATTATACAAAAAACTTTGAGAATCTAAGTTAGGTGTATCCTTGCACACTTTATACTTGTTTTGCTTACTCAAGGAGTACTAGGAACCTCATTTCATTTAACCTGGTCTGACAATATAATGGCTTGAACACAAAGACCAACCCCATCCATGCAGACACATCATAACAAAACATATTTGCATGCAGGAGCGCAGTTCAGTACTCCTTTCTCACCATAGAATAGTTTGGAGAAAAGTCCATGGCAGGGCACATCCTCCTGGTTTAATTTCTAAAATGGGCTCAGAAGCAGCAGCATCAGGAAAGCATCACACATCTGCAGAGATGCTGAGCCATTAAATCTGTGCTGTACCACTGATCTCTGAACCTCTCCTGTGACCAGGGGTGGTCCTTCCAGCATTTAACATTGACAGGGCACTCAAAAGTATTTCTGATGTTGCAGCTGGGTCCACCCAACAGATTTTTTGCTCTACAGTTTCCCTGAAACCAAAACTCTGGGTTTTTCCTCAATCAACCAAACTTATTCTATCTTTAGCTCTACTTTTTACAGCATAATTACATTCCAAGGTGAAGTGACAAAGTTTCAATCGTCAGTTTTAACACATATGGGCATAAACAAAAGAAACAAACAAATAATTTGCTCAGCTTGCGCTTTGTGAGTAATAATTATAATTTCACATGTATCCTGATTCTTTAGGATTATCACTTAATTAGCTACATATAAGTAGAGTAAATAATTGGTGCAAGCCCCACTGGAGGCTGCTCTTGGCTCTAAGATGGATCTCAAAAGAAAGCCTGGCAACTGGAAAAAGACAGCTCTAACAGCCACCTGCTTTGGATCTGGCATGAGTAGATGGACAGAGGCTTTTAGTCTCTTTCAGGATGCTACACTGCACAGTGGGGTATTAAAAACAGCAGCTGTGATGTCAACACGGTTCTTTGGAGTGCTTTCAAGCCTTGTTTCTTCTCCTCAGAATGGGCACGTTTCAGGAGCTACAGATTAATTTCAAGAAGGTACCAAAGGTTTCCTTTGTGCTGTATACACTTGCAGTAGAATATTATTTTCACATATGTTAGGACAGAATGCAAACTGCAGATACACCATTCTTTTCAAAACATGGCTCCCATGACATTGTCAGTACAGGTGCATCCAGACCCTCAGCACAGAAACACCACAGTCCCTTTCCTGGGGTCTAGGAATGGGTTTACATGCAAATGGTCATGATACAAGTGGATTTTTAAAAAAGCACAGCTAAAGGAATTTTCTCCACTGGCCTGTTGAAAATCTCTTTATATGACTAGTGGTGAAGTGTATTTAAGAGTACTTTGTGTTTTCCTGGTCTGTGACAGCCTTGGAAAGTGAAATCCTGTGACTGTCACAACCCTTGGAGCTAGCTGGAGTGGCTGACAGGTCCTTGGCCTTTTGCCTGAGCAGATACCTGCTTTTACTACTCAACAACAACCAAACCATGGCCAAAAACAGGCAGGAAAGGACATAATCTGCCATTTCAAGCTCTGTAGGTACCCCAGTCCCTGAGGTGGTATAAGGGTAAACCTGGATGTAAATGGGAGTGCAGTTGAATGGGATGAAGCTGGACCCTTCTGTTTTTTACTGTAGTGCAAACCACAGGAGAAATTCGTAGTGTCAAATGAGATTTGTGATTCTTTCTATTTTGTCAAGACATCTAAGGCTGAAGAAACATAAGATCTGTGGATCAAAACATATAAGAATACTTGAGAGAGACCCTGTGAAATCAGTCAGACATGTTTCTCACCATTTTATAGGACAGAAGGATGGAGGTGTGCAAGCACATAGTCACAGTACTCCCAGCAATTTTCTTAATTCCATCTGCCTACACTGTGGGGAATTTTCCATTTGAAAACTTCTTAACATGAAACAAGAAATGAGGGTTGCTGAGGGCATTATGTGGAACACAGGGCCTTGTACTGTGACCCTGAGTATACCAGCTCTTACAGATTTTCCAAGTGGATGCCTGTGCCTGCAAAAGGAAGTGCACGTGTTGGTGGCAGATCGGACATCTGCCTGCCCACAAGTCATGGCTCTTTGGTCTCTTAAACCCACATATTTCAGCTCACAATTTCCCTTACACAAGTGTTTGCAATTTAATTGCAAAAGTCTGGTCCTTGGTATTTTGTGAGTGAGGGATATGACACTCTCAGATGTACCAATAACATTGGTGAAGGCAGGAAAAATGGAGACAGAGAAAACACACAACAATATTTCCGTTTTGGGCTTTAAAGAGAGCTTCTACAATACTAGAAAGGTCCTGTATGAAGAAGCTGACAACCATCATAGAAATGGATTTTAATTGCTCTCTTCACTGTATTTTAGTATGATATCAATTTGTGTGCCAACTAAATGTTGTCTGAATTGAACAGTGCCCTGACAGAAGCTGCCAAGGTACTAGATAATTCTGTGCAAATATAGGTATTCAGAATTAGATCAGGACATTTTTGGCACTTGCTCTATCTCAAGATGCTAAGATAGTGCTAATAAGGAGTTTTGACATCCTTTCTGCAGCACAGCATCTAAATCACAGAACATTATTCTATCTTCCTTAAATGAGCAATCAATATTAGCCACCCCAGAGAGCACCACTTGCAAGCTCTCCTTGCTGCCCCATCCTTCTCTGCTTTAGGCACAGGATACCTGCTCATGAACTAATGCAGCTACAGAGGAGACACACGTGCACCTCTACAAATGCGCCGCGCACCATTTCCCTCCTGTTGGCGCATCCTCTGCCAGGCAAATGTGAGAAGTGAGTACAGCATCAAGATTTTCGCTGCCAGCTTCCCTCCTCTACCAGCTGGGAAGAGTGAGGGCAGGGGCAGACGGAACCGAGAGGCTGGTACTCGTCTCCCCAGCAACAAACCTGCCACTTGGCCGACGTTCCACTTGAGCGGCCTGCCGGGATGGAGAGGAGCCTGGCCGCTCTCCGTGGGGGCCCGCTGGCCACCACTGCTCCACTGAACTGACGGCCGCTTCGCTGGTGCGAAACCGAAAATTAAAAACTGCGGCGAACTCTTTTCTAACTGAACTGAATTAAGTAGCAGGCGAGAGCACCTCGGAGCAGCTTCCCACAATCCCAGCACTTAGCTGGCATCACTGCTGATAAGGAAGCGCAGGCGGTGCTGCTTTTCAATCCCCCTTTGTGGGCTTGATCTTATTACAGAAAACAAATTTACCAAGCATGAATTATCGCTAAAATTCCTAATGCTCTGGCAGAGAAGAAAGCCTGATGCAGACACCAGTAAATAGGCACGTCTTTGGGTGAGGATGCCTCTCCTCGGCACGCTACTCTCTCCCAACTTTTGGCTATATGCTGCCGCTGCGAGATTTATTCAAAAGATGGGCTGCAGAAAAGGGATCAATTAATCTGCTGAGCGAGCTTTCGAACCCATTCTCAATGCCGCTGACAGCCGGAGACCCCCTCCCTGCGCTTGGTAATTACCCCAATATTTCCTGCACGCTTGTTTAAACTGCTTACACTGGGGCTGCCTGTGAAGAGGAGCTCTCCCTGCGCCGATCTGAGGCAGGGCAGAAAGGCAGCTTCCCTTATCGCTCTGCTTCACTCCATCTGCAGCCAGCGGGGCGCTGCCTAATCGCCGGCCCTGGGACAGGGACGAGCAGGCTGGGGGACACAGATAGATGTCACACCAAAGGAGACGGGGACTTTCCTACCGCGCTCGTGCCGCGGAAAACTCATCACGCTCTCGCTGTTTCAAAGGAGGGAGAGGAGCCCCTTTAAACCAGAGGCCTGTCCCTTAATTATACAAATGCAGCGATCAAAGTTATTATCTGTCCTTACAAAGGCCGGAGATTTAATTGAATGGTGTGTTGCTACCTTTGAGAGAAAGTGTTCAGTACTCCTGGAGAGCAAAGTGCCAGGAGGGGGGAAAA